AGTACAAATATTTCTTCCCAATGTTGTTAATTTACCACAGGAAGATGATAGGTCTTAGAACCATTTCAAATGGGACAACCAAGTTTGCATCGACGAGGAAATGTTATCCCTCTTGTTCAGCGCGACTCTATCCAACAATTTATATTTCCCTTTATGTGTGTGGAGGGCTACCAAATGCTTTGTTGAAGTCCAGAATTGGTATATCTACTGATACTGTTATTTAACTATTTTCATGTTATCTTGTGAACTATTTGGACAGAATGTCAATCTTTCTTCTGGACTACAGCAGTTTGAAACCGATACCGACTGATCAACGCCAATTTTCTATTTGCCAACATGTAAACAGAAAAATTCCCGGACCACTTCAAACGAGAAAAAAATCGGTATCAAATATGCAGTAAAAATAGGATTATCAAGATTTACTTTTGATCCTCCCATTATCCCATGAATGCTCTCTTCTCGATCTGTCCATCCGTTCGTAAGTACGTCCATCCTTCTACAAGTACGTCCATCCTTCCTGTGTATTATCAGATTGATGTTTTGTTTAAGTCAGTTTGAGGTCACATGAACTTGAAACTTAGTACACATGTTCATTATGAGGTGACCTGTCTGATATATACACCAACTTAGGATTTTTTACACAGATTTTATGGTTTACTGAACATGAAAATGTAATAAAGCGATACTGGTATGGTGGTCTATGGAATTGTATTCTTCTTTTTCAAATATGATTGAAATTTAATGCATTTGAAGCGCTTTTCTGGATAACCTTCATCAGTAACTCCCAAAACAAAAACTGCCAAGCCAATGATGTATAATTAATTAAATACTTGTGAGCTATACGACAATAAAGATCTTATATAATAACCAAATCCGCCTAAGTTCAGTTTAACCATAATTATTTAGAACCCTTTTTTATAATAATTTATAAATCTTTCAACTGAATATTTAAGAAGGTGTCGTACATCATGTAAGTTACCAGAGCAATGACTACTGAATTGATGATAGTATCAAACTAGCAACGTCATGAACCCATTGTATGATGATCGCAGATCTTTGTTTCCTTTTCTTTGATCTACACTGAAAAGTGTGATTATTAAACCATTCAGAACAGGAAGTTTTTAAGCAATCCCCTTTAAAAAATAATAACGTATGTTTCTTTTTAAATATTAATTGAATGAAATCTTTTTTTATATGAGTATTCGATCATTTAATTGTTTCAACGTTCAAATTTGACTAAATCACGTCAAAGCTTTTCTTTTAAAAAGAAACCCGCAAAAAAATCATTCTTTACTTTTACATATGAAATTTCATAATATTTAACCTTTGTTATTTCATTAGGTGCACATTTTATTCAAAATTAATAATTATTATATCATTTGGACTGTGCAAAGTTGATTATTTTACTAGCCGTAGCTGATTTATTTAAAGATTGTTATTTCTTCTATATACTGTTTATATGGAGTCTTCCGGATTGTCCCACTTTTTGAAATTTCAGGTAAAAAAGTAATGACATTTTGTGGAACAATCGGGAAGATGTGTGTGGGATAATTGGGAAGTTTAAATTTGGGACAACTGGGAATAGTTTTGATAGTGGTTTATTTGTTTTTAAAGTGTGAAAAAGGACATATAAACGGTTTATTCCCGATTGTCCCACTTTTTAAAATTTTATATGTCCTTTTTGGTAACATACCACCGTACGTTTCTACGTATTTTTACATAATCCTTGACTTTTAAATGTTAAGGTGAGCGTTACTGATGATTGATTGATTGATTGTTGATTGCTTTACGCCGCATCAGCACAAAAAGGCTATATCGCGGCAAGAGCTATTTTGAATATTATAACGAGACGTTTTTTTTTTTTTTAAATCAGACAAACAGTCTTTAAATTTACTAAACCTTTAGTTAAAGCGAAATTTACGTTTACCAATAACATTTCACCAATAAGATAAAATGATAAAAACTTAAGATCATTTTAAACTACAAATGTATTACAATAAATTCATAATTTGGAATATATTCCAATTTCTTTTAAAAATAAAACAATTATTTCAACAGGAATATTATTAAATAAATCATACATATTATTTACATTAAAATGTAGTTTTTTTTCCGGATGTCGAAAAAGTCAATAATTCAATTAAAATATGTTTAATTGTATACTTGCAATCGCAAGGTATACATGCTGGTTGAATTTCAATTTTTTAAAGATACGCGTGTGTTATTCTAGCATGACCAATAAGGCATCTAGAAATAACACACTGATCTTTCCTGTTTATAAATTTGTTTAAAGGTTTACATAAAGTTGGTTTAATTTCATGCAATTTATTGTCGTTCCTTTCACTCTAAGCATTTTTCCATATATTTAAAACATATTATGCGTTACTGATGAAGATAATTCTAGAAAAGGACTTCGGACGCACGAAATTTATAAAATGTTGTTTTCATTTAGCGAAAGACCATTTTAGCGAAAATCTTACCTTACCGTACTCGAGCCGTGAACTGTAAATATGCTTGTTTACTGTGAAACAAAAACAAGTGCATTATGTGGGAGATAATGGGCATCATGTGACAGATATCGCGCAATCGGAAATCGACAGGTGAATCCGTTACTTTCCTTCTATCCCGCGGCTGTAATACGATATATATGATTAAGTGATTAAAAATTAAAAATAGCGGTTAACCGATAAAAATAGCGGATAACCGATATATATAAATAGCGATTAACCGATAAAAATAGTGGTTAACCGATAAAAATAGCGGTTAACCGATAAAAATACCTTTTGAACCAAATGGTACAGCATAATATTTGTCTAAGCATTGCATGTCTTGACCGAAGGAGAATCGGTTAGATGCCAGTGAAAGGATAAGATTTCGAAATGACTTTCATTGAAGAATGTTTTGTTTACATCTACAGAGAATATCAATTGAAAACACTACAATCTCTGTATTTGAACAAGGACTGTATATTGGTGTTGCCTACATGTTATGGTAAAAGCTCATATTCCAGGTTCGACATGTTTTTTTTTATAGATAAAATTGATAGAGAACGACCTATGATAGTTGTAGATAGATGCAGGACGGAATCGTCCGAATTAAGACGGGTGAGATATCGTTATGCAATCGACAAAGAATGAAAAGGTCAAGCAATAGCATTGGCATGATACTAGTACGTAAATATGATGAACTGCACACAAATATTTTCCAGGATAGAATAGTTTGATTATTCGAGTAATCTTTTCCCAAGTATCCTCATCTTTTTCCAGGATAGAAAGTACTTGTAACACAAACAGAACTCAAATATGAGATGTACAGGCAAAAAGTAAAAGAACAAAATTCCGAACTCCAAGGAAAATACAAAACGGAAAGTCTTTTATAAATTGGCAAAATCAAAAGCTCAAACACATCAAACGAATATAAAACAACTGTCATATTCCTGACATTGTACAGGCATTTCCTTATGTAGAAAATGGTGGATAAAAGAAGGTTTTATAGCTAGCTGAACCTCTCACTTGTATGAGATGATAATTTACCATTTTACTAAAATGGCTAAAAGTTTGGGGAAACACCTCCGATGTTTTCTCTGAAATGTCCTATCAATTTGCAAAAGTTTTCTCCGCCAGGGTAGTGATTAATATTTTAGTATGGGAAAACATAATTAATTGGAAATGGCGCTGAACTAGCTTCCGGTAGCCAAGTACTCTTAAATCTGTACTTATTTTTATCTTTTTGTAAGCGTTTTTCGGTTCTTCGCGCCGATTTGATGAATCAAGCCACATCTATATGATTGTTACAGTTTCTTCTTGTGTTGTGCTGTTACAACACTTGCTCTCGGTATATTTGGTTGAACACCCACAAATACTGATAACACAGCCACATTCTTTATGTGCCTATCCAAAGTCAGAAGCCTGTATTTCAGTGGTTGCTGTTAATTTATGTCTGTCATATTTTTTTTCCGTAAATTGTTTTGTTTTAAATTAGGTCGTTAATTTTCTCGTTTAAATTGTTTCACATTTTTCCTGTCGAGGTCTTTTATTACGGACTATACGCGAGTCAGTGTTTCTCATTGTTGAAGGCCATACGGTGTTAATTGTTTACATCGACTTCATTTATGAATTCTCCTTATTAATATTCACTCTTTACATAAATAAAAGATTAGACACGTCACTTTCTTTTCGGTCTATAACTTTCTCAAGTCTAAGGAGCTTCAATGGCATAATGGTCTTAGTAGTTCATCTACATTATCATTGGTCTCCCGCACGTAATAGGTGCGTTCGATTGTCAGTGTTCCTGTCAAAAGTCGGTGGTTCTCTCTACAAGCACCACCGGTTTCCTCCACCGATAAAAACTGGCCCAAAAGATATGTCCAAAAAAGTTAAATGTGGCGTTAAACATCAACAATCAAAACCAATCAATTCTCCATTAAATATAACTACCCTGACACTTATATGAACCTCTCTTGTTGACACAGTTAACATTCCACGAATTTACACCTCTTAAACCTGACAAATGCAATAACAAGAAAACGAATAAATGGCGGGTGTCAGTATAGATCATCTAAAATTAAATAGAAAACAGGAAGCCTGTACGATAATGAGATAGGAGAGATACTTAAAGCTACTTGTGACTATTATGATGGTATAATTGGTACATCCCTTTGATGTTTAAAAAAATATAAGCATAAGAGGCGGCTGAAAAGTGTGTGTGGGTGAGGGGGGAGGTCAAATTCCAGAAAGTGAAAATAAGATAAAAAAAATTTTATTGTCTAATAGTTAAGAAGAAAAACGGTGTTCTCTTTAATTTTAATTTTTTATTTTCAATATTGTCCCCTCTCCTATTCTCCTTATATAGGAAAATTTAAAAAAATCATAAGATGAATAAAAAACATTGACGATACCTTCCAAAAAAAAAAATAAAAACAAAAAAAAATAAAAACAAAACAAAAAAACAAAAAGCAAAAGATTACACAAAATGAACTCCGTTAGAAATGTACTCAGAAACAGTCTTTCGAATGAATTTTGTTGAAAATTGTTTACTTTCGGTGAGTAAATGATATAAGTTGAACATAAACGGCTGTCACGTCTGTTTGTGTGTTCGTGTTCAATCTGTTCGCTTTTGTGTATTTAGTTTTGCTGAATCACAGTGATTCTATGCCATATGGATCAGGAACGGCTAACACGTTTGTTTGTGTATTCGTGTTCAGTCCGTTTGGTATTTGTATTTAGTTTACTCAATCTCAGTGGTACTATGCCATATTAGAACAAGAACGGCTGACGAGTATGTTGTTTTTTCGTATTCGGTCTGTTCTCGTTTTCCATTTAGTTTTGTTAATTCTCAATGATTCTTTGCCATACTGGAACAGGAACGGCTGACGAGTCTGTTTGTTTTTTCGTGTTCGGTCTGTTCTCGTTTTCCATTTAGTTTTGTTCACTCTCAGTGATTCTATGCAATACTGGAACAGGAACGGCTGACACGTCTGTTTGTTTTTTCGTGTTCTGTCTGTTCTCGTTTTCCATTTAGTTTTGTTCACTCTCAGTGATTCTATGCTATACTGGAACAGGAACAGCTGACACGTCTGTTTGTATGTTCGTGTTTGGCACATCTGCTATAAGCATTTAGTTTTGCTCACAGTTGATTAAGAATTTATCGTGGTCGATTTGGTACACCAGACGCGTGTTTCGTCTACATCAGTCTTGACAGTGAAGCTCCATTTACTTTAAAAGTTGACATTTTTCAGAGTTTACAAATATATCATATTTAAGGTTCATAGTACTATAAACTTGATGGAATATTGTTCTACTGTAATATATATTCATTAAGGTTACATCGACAATTTCTGTCACAGTTCCCTTTAAAATATTTCGAACAAAAGGTACACACACATAAACATAGAAATTACGGAAAAAATTAATTCAAAGTATGCATTGTACAAGAATTACTTACAATTTACCACAATTACAAAAATGTGTCTTTAAAAGTGTTTATTTGTTGCCAACCACATGTTTTTCTTTAGATATTCTGACAAATAGAACTTTATTTGTCCAAGTATGTTTAGTGCAGCGCCTTCTTGATTCTCTTGAATAGGTCTTTGCATTGTTGTCTGAATTGAATGCTCAAGAAACAATAAATTATTGGATTGAGCGAACTGCTCAGCATGTAGTTTCTCAGGAACAAGTTGTAAACCGCCTTTCCAGCAGTGCTCAATTCGTTGTAATATGATTTGTCCAAAGCTCTAATAATAACTATGACGCAATAAGGAACAAACGATCCCATGAATACAATTGTAACCATGAACAACATCAATGTCGTTTTGTACATTTGTGACTTTCGAGCTTCGATGCTAGATATCGACAATGACCTCTGTCTAAACATGTCACGTCTAATCGAAGCACTGGATTGTTTTGTCAACTTATGTGTATTTTTTTCTGACACAGAATAAACCTGTTTCTCGTTGTTCTCGTTCTGTACATTTTCTGGGCTGTTCCGGGCAAGCCGCTCTTGCTCTTCTGTCCTCTTGTCTCCTAGACAGTTATCATCTGTGGACAATGTAGAGGTACTACCCTTCCTATATTTCAATGGCGTTGGATTTACTGATGTTCCCCGTTGAATAACTTGGTATCCGATCATCGAATACAGAATGATCATTGCCAAATCGATTATCACATTGCCTACTAGTAGAGATAATGAGAAAATCAGTGGGTAACTCGTTTGTATGAATTTATCTTCGTAAAGGCAAGTTTTCCCTATGATGCACATGTGTGTTTTTCCTGGAATAGGAATGGGAACAGTCTGTGACCCATATATGAACAGAGCCGGCCAGGCAAATGTAACCGATAATATAAGCGCAAGAATTACAACTTTCTTGGCATGGTGTGGGCGCAGTTGTGGTCTCAAAGGATAACAGATTCGAATATATCGATCGATAGCAATTGCCGCCAAAACCACGGACGATCCATGGTTCATCATAAAGGTGATATAACGGAAAATTTTGCAAACTGGATTATGGTCGAATGTTATGATGTTATGCAATACAGTTAATTCCATTGGCATTGTAAAAAAACAATTCATCAAGTCAAATCCAGCTAAAGCAAGAATGAATATACGGGCAGTGGTTTTACGCCATTTTGAAAAATAAATATAAAATACTAGCGCATTTCCAGGTCCGCCAATTAAAAACATAAAAAGCGTAAAGATGAAACTTGGTAGAAATATACTTTGAAACACTTGATCATTTGCCTTGTCGAGATAAATTCCTGTTGTAATTTTAGTACTACACATAGGATATACGACGGTACTGTTGTTAGCCATACTGGTATAATTCATCTGAAAATAACGAGTTCTGTAACATCGAATCGATATATTTGATCAAGAGTAATATTTGTTATATAAATCACTATCACTATCATTGTTATCATAAATTATTATTAATATTTTTTACCGTTTTTATGCTGTTGTTTATTTATTGTTTATATTGTGAATTTGCCTAGCAGATCTAAAAATTTAACAAAATTGAATTCAATGACCCAAACGAATTCTTTTGACCATTTAATCAATACAATTGAATGTCTCACTCAGTAAATCTCAATTTTGTATGGATGAAGTATTTATTTTATAAGAAGTTGGATCTCGGTTTACATAAAATTGTATGAATTTCAATATGGTTGCTTGTCTAGAACAATATCAGTGTTTTCTAAATGTATATAAAATATGAGTGAATTTTGCGCAATAAAAGACATTTTACCGTTTGTTGTATTAAATTGCATTATAATAATTACTTAAACGACCTTTATAGCGTTTCCGGTCATTTTCTTTCCGACATGAAATTAGGACGAAAGATGTTACAGGAAAATAGCCATTTCCGATATGACTTCGCTTTTCAATTAAACAGAAAATGTAAAAAATCTACCTAAAATGAAGAAAAACAAAATGAAAATAAAAAGTCATATTTTATATTATATTTTTTTATGAAACAAAAGAGTTGCGGAGGTATAGGTCATTACGCATGTCTGTATTAAGATTTCTCCTTAACATACACTTGACGAATCTTATGTTAAGTGTATTACTGTTATGTCACGTTTCATGGAGTTGTTATATGCAAAAGTTGAAGTGTTTGAGGAAAAAGATATTGTTGTATTTGCTATGATCAACTCTAAATTGATGCATTTACTTAGAAATCGATTAAAGTTGAAAACACCAACAAATAAAAATAAAAATACGAGAAAAAAATCAACTGTAGCAAATTTACGAAGTAACAAATTCCTTTCAAAATATTTTTTTCTGTGGTTGTCTTTTTTTAATTGAAAAATTAGTTCGTTATCATTTTTTCGTAAAATAGTAAATCATGAAAAAAATGTTTCCACTCTCTCTTTTCCATAAAAAAACAAAATGACTATAAAAACAAAACGACTAACTAATAAACATTGAAGTAAAAAGACAAAATCAAAATATCGAATTTAAATTTTAAAATTAGAAGTATTCTAGGAATAAAACCTACCTCAGCACAGAACAATGTCCTCCAAAAAACTCATCACAATTAACTGAAACCACTATCTATAGCCACTTAAGATACTTCCGATACAGGGTTGATCTATGGCAAGCCGTTTTACATTTATTCAATGATATGTTCCTTATAAAATTAATAATATAAAGTATAATACAAGATATCTTACATTCTTTACGAGATATCTAATTATTTTGAAGTTAATTAGATATCTTATATACTCGAAAAGATATATTTTAAACTGAATTATATATATATTATATATATATATCTAATATAGTTTATAAGATATTTTGTATCTTATAGATACCTTTTTAATCAATTCTTTATAGTTTATCTTGTATAGTTCATAAGATTTGATATATAAGAAATATTATTTGTTCATAAGATATCTCTATTAGTTTATAAGATAACTTATTTAATTTATAAGATACCTCAATAAGGTTATAGGATATCCTATATATATAGATATTAATTAAAGGGTAATTTTGATCGAGTTCAAATTATTTAAATACAAATTATATTGGTGTGGGGGCGTTCACGTTTCTCCAAAGTTTGATCATATAATACCATCATATAATATCATCATATAGTATCATCATATAATATCAGGATATCAGGACCTCAGTAAGTAATGGCATCTCTGCAATCTACACAGTTAGATTTGAATTAGAAATTTAATTTCCCAGATTGGTGAAATAACATACTTGTTTATCCTTGTCCATCTATTATTATCTTCCCATACTAAGGAAGTTTTTATCACGTCGCCTTTATTTACAGGAAGAATGTTAAAGTGGATACTTTAAATCTCTGTTTTCTTATCTAGCCAAACTTTAAAATAGCTGACATTTTGAACTTTGAGAACAGCGAACATCGTGTACACTATTGCATTTTAAATTAGTAGTTTATTGTGGCGCCCCTAATAGCTCATAAGGTGTTAGTTTTATTTATGAACATATGGTCGATACCCGGTCTGCAGGTGGACTGTTAGCTCTCGAGATTGTTATTAGTCCAGTATTCAGTGCTTCGCCCCTGACATAGTTTAAAATATACATTGTTTATATTTTCTGTTTATAAATTAAGTAGGTATTAAGAAACAAAAGTTCCAACTCCCTCGGGCAAAGTTCGCCTCAGATGATTTTGGCAATTTTGTTGTCCCTTTTGGTCATACATATAGTGCTTCAACATGTTCAAGTATTTATACATCCATAGGAAAGTAAATCCAGAAAAGCGCTTTCGGACACACCAAATTTAAAACGTGTTATTATGTATTTTCATCATTTTTATTACCACATCCCTTAGTGATCAATTTGTGTAAAGTAAAACAGTACTGCATCGAGATTGAGTGCCGATTTTTGTTATCATTTTCCACAAGTTTTGCGGCGGAGTTCAGTAACACGGTATTTTCTCACTTAAATTTCCAACTTGTTCAGATTTTCTGAATCATATGCATTTGCTGTGCAAATGAATGTTACTCGTTACTTTTGTCGACTAGTTTTATGTACAGCTGATTTGAGAAAAATTTCAGAAAATGAAAAGAAAATATCGCGCCTTCAAACATGTTCAACCCCGCCATTTTCTCTAGATGCCTGTCCCAAGTCAGCAGCCTTAAGTTCAGTGGTTGTTGTTGGTTCGTGTCTGTCATATTTTTTTTCGTAAAGGTTTTTGTTATAAATTAGGCCTTTAGTTATCTCATTTAAATTGTTTCATATTTTTCATGTCGGGCCTTTTATATCTGATTTTACGAACTTTACGGACGCCATCACGAGTTGCTTGACCGTTATGGAATATCCGTTTCACAGATGATAGCGGATATGTTCATACTGTCGTAATAACAATCCAGTCCCCTTTTCCCCGAATGTAACATACCGAATGAGACTTATCAGTGGGTTTGTACTAACATGAGCAACACGACGGGTGCCACATGTGGAACAGGATCTGCTTACACTTCCGGAGCACCTGAGATCACCCCAGTTTTTGGTGGGGTTTGTGTTGCTCAGTCTTTAGTTTTCTATGTTGTGTTTTGTGTAGTGTTGTTTGTCTGTTTCTTTTTTAGCCATGGCGTTGTTAGTTTATTTTCGCGTTAAGAGTTTGAATGTCCCTTTGGTATCTTACGCCTCTCTTATTCGGTATTATGGGGTTTCCTCATTGTTGAAGGCCGTACGGTTGCCTTTAATTGCTTACATCCACTTCATTTGAACTTTGGTGGTTAGTTACCTCATTGACAATCATACCACATCACTTTATTTTTATATGTATTATCAACATATGTTTTAATTTAATATAGAGATCTTTTTTTTTTATTTTTCTATTCAACTTTGACATCAAAATACCATCCTCTTTTTCTCTGTTTACCTAAAAAGAAAGGCATCAGTAAATAATAGAAATGAAATTTATTTATAAAACTTCTGTGCACAAATAACCAGGAATATTACTGGTTGTTTGTAAAAATGTTAAGAACCTTTCGTTCTTTATTCAAATTTTGTTTAAAATTGAACTTCCATCACTATAATGTAATTGTCGATGTAATGTATTACGTTTTAACGAACTACAAAATTGCTTAATCGGAGAATGGTTTTAAAATATAATTATTCCTCAAATATACGTTTAAATGGGGCATTACATTTGCAAGCATTACCATTACATTTGCGCGTAAAAATCATTTTGTTTGCACGCATTTTTTTATTAAATTTGCGTGCATTTTTTTTTACAGGTAATCACATGTAAATTTAGGTACATTCTATTATTTTCTGTGTTGAATATGTTTAAATCACATATAAAACATTTTGTTAAAACTATTAGTACATGTATTACAGAAAACATTAAAACAACGTATATTGCATATTTGAAATATACTAGTCAACAAAAGTAACGATACAAGGCAATGAATTTTCCGTATATAATGAAATTGGATACACTGTACCAAGGTAAATAATTGCCAATTAGTCTAAAATTTTAAGAATGTTATTTTCTTATAAAAACCATAGATTTAAGGCACATATGCGATTTTTTTTTGCAATTTTTGTTTATTTCAAAAATCGTATTTTCACCCAAAAATTGAAAAATCGATATTAGAACTTAAAACTTTAAACTTGAACATGGTCTGCTTAAAATTTTGAATGCCTTTGCAGATATTTGAATACTTAATTCTCATCTCCGAAATTCAGTGCCGACTTTTGTCATCATTTTCCGCAAAATAAATTTGACCCCTGTGTTCAATAACACGGTATTTTCTCACTTTCCAATTTGGTCAGATTCTTTTAGTCATATTCATTTGCTTTGCAAATGATTGTTTTTCATTGAATAATTTAACAGTTTTTCCTATTTACTATATTTTATGATAAATTGGAGTTCAAACTTGTGTATCGTTACTTTTTTTGACTAGTGTTATTAGACAACTCTCAACAAGTGACCAAATGACACAGAAATTAACAACAAGGGGTCCCCGTAAGTAAAAAAAAGCAACAAATTATTTGTGTACCTATGATTTGTACAATATTTGTCTGATTTCCACGGTTCTTGTAATTGAAAGAATGTTCTGTGGAAATAACAGGAAATCATCACAACCAATTCCATATTATATATATCACTGAAGAGACATTAATTGTCGAAATCCGGATATGGTGTACAAAAACCTTTGCACCTTTTGTTTGCGGTATATACCATCTTTTCCGCAAGTTTATTATTTTTCTGTTTAGTATTAAATCTAAAATTAGATCCATTTTTACATCGGTTATCCGTTTATTTGGCAGTCGCCAATGGCAGTCAGCAGGGTTTAAGAACATTTGTTGTTCGACCTGCTAGTCAAATGCGTTTTGTTAAAATATACTTTTTCACTTTTTTGGTCTTTTGGAAAATGTTGTATGTGCTGTATTTAGATCCCTCTAACAAGAAATTTGTTTTGCATGCACACGTATAAAAATTGCGGTTTTTATCCAACGCAATCATAGGTTTGAACGTTGTTTTCAATTAAGACTTGTTTATATTTTTTCGTTTGGACTTGTATTATATTTTCCTTCGGGTTTATATGATCCGTTCATCCTTTTTTGACTCCTCAAAATTCAAGAGTCTATCCTAAATTGAGGTAAATTGTATGGCTTTCCAAATACCGTTTCGATTCCTAACATCACTGAAGAGACATTAATTGTCGAAATCCGGATATTGTGTACAAAAACCTTTGCACCTTTTGTTTGCGGTATACCATCTTTTCCGCAAGTTTATTATTTTCTGTTTAGTTTTAAATTTGAAATTGGATCCACTTTTTACATCGGTGATCCGTTTATTTGGCAATCGCCAATGGCAGTCAGCAGGGTTTAAGAACATTTGTTGTTCGACCTGTTAGTCAAATGCGTTTTGTTAAAATATACTTTTCACTTTTTGGGTCTTTTGGAAAATGTTGTATGTGCTGTATTTAGACCCCTCTAACAAGAAATTTGTTTTGCATGCACACGTATAAAAATTGCGGTTTTTATCCAACGCAATCATAGGTTTGAACGTTGTTTTCAATTTAGACTTGTATATATAGATATAGGCGTAAAAAAATAATTTTCACATGTGCAAATATATATATTCATAAAATAAATAATAAAATAAGTAAACAAGTTAACAGTTCCAGTTCAATCGAATTCATCCTTCCATTGGGACTCGTCAAGATATCTGATTTAGCGTCGTTAAGGAGACTTGTGACGTCCCGGCATTGTTTATAATTAAAAGTTCTCGGGATTTAATCTTGGTCGGAACGTTGTTATGAAATAACGTTCCATCTCCTTTCGATAGGCTTCATCCCGTCTACATTTAAAAATAGGCACTATTTGAAATTGTTTTTTACCACAAGTGTCAAGATGGGCACTAATTGGCGAGTTTCTGTATTGTGGGTGTTTTATTTGTTCTTTATGAACGCGCATCCGTTCACAGAGGCTATTCCCGGTCTGTCCAATATAATGTTCGTGACAACCAGGACACGCGACGCAATAAATAAGGTTTGTTGTCTTACAAGTCATATTGGCGTTCACATGAAATTTTCTTCCATCTTTAAATGTTTTCATTT